GCTGTTTGAGCTGCCACTGTTGAAAGTTATCTTGCCATTGCTGTAATCTCTCTTCTTGTTTATTTTCTTTTTCCTCCAACAACTGTTGTAATCTCTCTTCTTGCTTCTTTTCTTTTCCTCCAACAACTGCTGTAATCTCTCTTCTTGTTTATTTTCTCGTTCTTCTTGTTTCTTTTCTTTTTTCTCCAACAGCTGCTGTAATCTCTCTTCTTGTTTATTTTCTCTTTGTACTTGTTTCTTTTCTTTTTCCTCCAACAACTGCCAAAAGAAACAAGAAGAGAGATTACCTCATTCTTTCTCATTCTTCTTGTTTCTTTTGCTATTCTTGTATTGCTGCCATCAAATCTGCTAAGCTGTAGTTTGATTTGCCATTCTCGTTTCCATCTTCTTTTTTTTTCGTCCCACTCTCTGACACCAATTGTTATGCCTCTGTGTTCGTTTGTTAATTTTCCGTAAAAATTATTTCCGAAGAAACTTTAGTGATACAAGTCCTTTCTTAAATAAACCTAATTTATTCTTTCTTAATACAACTTTGCAATACACTTAATTTCACAAGTCATGCTATAACTTAAACAAATGCTATAATTCACAACAAACGATTCACGCGCTTGACTCAAATGTCCTTCTCTATCTCTGTCTGCAATTCAATTCCCTTGTTGCCATCACTTCTTGGCGGTCTTATATACAAGAATACCGCACATCTAGTAAACACTCGAGCATTCAAGAACCTTCGAGAATATCATGACGTGTTACTAGCGTCACGTGACTTCCACTGTCGTAACAATACTTTATAACAACAACAACGTAAAATTACAGACTTGACAAGTATCACACATATTGAAACATTTATTTAAAAACTTCCAGACTTAGATATACTAATTTTACCAAAATGGGGCAGAAGGCCGTCTGGAGGACGTCACTTGTTTTAATCACTTGCACTACTGTACAGTAGTGTGTTCTCTGTCAGTCAGTCATTAGGCACCAAAATGATGTTAAATAAGGGATGCTTAATGTTGCAATTTGTACTGTCGTGAAAGTGTAAAACGTGCACATTCTAAGAATCACGAGAAGTATTATGCACTCTGTAGGTTACAACACAATATGGCAAATGAACTTCAAGAGCAAGAAATAAAATATTGGTTACTCTTAATTTTGGTTTTATTTACCATTGAGCTCCCTAGTGGCACAGCAGTATGTCTGCAGACTTACAATGCTAGAAACTGGGCAGAACACAGATAGCCCTTTGTGTAGCTTTGTGCTTAACTACAAACAAACAAACAAATTTAGTCTTGAAACAGAACACTTTTGGTGACCCTGCACAAGTACATTTAGTATACTCTTTATAAAAATAGAAATATCTTAGTTTATAAAATACACAATATCTGCAGTACATACTTGTTCTAGTGTGTAATTAGTCAAGTAGAATAAATCACTGTAAACGAGATGTAAGGGGCATTCCCAAAATTGACTCGAGATAATATGATCTTAGAAAGTTTCGTTATTTAGAAATTCTACAAAATATACCATGTACTTGAAATCCATAACTAACTTGACTATCCCCGTCATTATAACATTAGATCTTTTGACGCTCATTTTACCTCTCCCCTATTGCTTAAAACAGACGAGTTTCACCATAGCCTAATATGTTATCATCAATATATGTAAGTAAAAATTCAGACTTGACAAGTATCACACATACCGAAACATTTATTAACAAAACTCATAAAAAGTTAGGAAATAAATCTAAATTACTCTTTTTTTTCTTTCTAGAATGACTACACAATTGTTTATCATAAATAGCTTAAAGCTTGTAACAACATACATCTATTTATATTTAATTTTATTGCCCATAGAACCAGCTCTAACTAAGTATCCCACCACAGAAGTTGTAAATGAATCGGCGAACGTGCGCTCACGTTAATTATTGAACGATGTAAGACACGAGCTGCTTGAGAGCATATCTCGTGAGTTTTTATTTTTATCTTACTTAATCTTATCTAGCATAATATGTATCTTATTGTTTATTTTAGTTACAGTTATAATAATAAATAAATAATACATATGAAAAACAAGAAATATGGTTCATACCCGAATTTTCTTTTTTTGCTGTCGACTGTCAATTCAGTTGACAAGCCGAACTATTTTTATCGTAATAGTATCCGCGTATAATTCACTTACACTGTCGTGTGAGTTACCACAGTTGTATCTTGAACTTCCAATAATCATCTGTGCTTCATACTTCCAATAATCGTCTGCCTTTTGACAAAGTCCACACAGGCGGGTTCAATTAGTTTAGAACACCCTTGGACATGACAAAGTATTCTCCTTATCTCTTTCAAACTGTTAATCCCACTTTAACATGTAAACTGTTAGACCATTCACTCCTACTATGGTTAACTTTTTAAACTTTTCTCTGAGCGAACTTCTCTTTCACGTGATTTTACTTTTACTCTGTTTTTGCTTGTCTGGTCGCAGCTATTTATATGTCTATCACTTAAGCATTATAGAAATCGCCATAGCCTCGACATCAGTGGATTGCAAACACAACTTTTGATAGCCTGTACATCAATGAATTACAAACACCAAATAAATAAATTAATAATACTACGTACACTAAACACTCTTTTATATCTGACACTGGTTTAGACTTTGGGATGCTCTGGAAAGCTGTAAAACGACATATACATCGGAGGTAGAGCGACTATGCCATGTAGTCTTCATATATAGTTTCTAATGACCTGTAGAGAAGAAAATCCAGGTGAATTTTGTATTGCTTTAATACGGGCGTCCATGCAACCCCTACATAGAAAGTGCAAAAGCACTCCGATAATCCAAGAAGTTACTTTTAATCAAATCCAACATTACTTAGATAAAGGAATAGTTGAAATAATGTGTTTATAATTGGCAACCAATATGACTTGGACATTTTTAAATGTTGTTGTTTGTTTTAGAGCAACGCCACATTGGGCTTTCTGCTGTTTCCATCGCGGAGAATCGAACTCTGGATTTTAGCATTGCGAATCCGTTTACTTACCACTGTTCCACCGGGGGGGGGGCAGTGATACAGTGGTATGTCTGCGGACTTATACTGCTAGAAACCGGGTTTCGATACCTGTGGTGGGCAGAGCACAGATAGCCCGTTGTGTAGCATGGCCAGGTGGTTAGGGCGCTTAACTTGTACTCTGAGGGTCGCAGGTTCGAATCGCCATACCACCAAACATGCTCGCCCTTTCAACTGTGGGGCGTTATAATGTGACGGTCAATCCCACAATTCGTTGGTAAAAGAGTAGCCCAAGAATTGGCGGTGGATGGTGATGACTAGCTGCCTTCTCTCTAGTCTTTCACTGCTAAATTGGGGACAGCTAGCGCAGATGGCCCTCGTGTATCTTTGCGCGAAATTCAAAAACAAACAAACAAACGACAACAACAATCTACCGGGGAACATTTCTAAATAACGAAACGCGTTAATAAAAATATTGACTATATATATATATATATATATATATATAATTAGTTGTTACTTTACCTAATTTTACTTGGTCTATAACTACTTTTTTTTTTTACTTTTACTTTTCCTTACCGTTATTTTTTACTTTTACTTACTA